AATTATAGTTATATAATATATAATAATAATATACTGCAACCCCAGAACTGGCAGTTTTACTATTTGTTTGTGGAGCAATAATCTCTCTGATGTCCTTAAGCTTTTCACTTCTGTTTCTGAGAATGATGTAGCCAGTATGATGACAGATTGGCACCAAGACCAGGCATCAGTATTTCTGTTGTAGTGCTATTCAGTACTATCACTATTCAGTAGTTTAGTACTACTTAGATACTGAGGTAAATTAAGGGACACTTTACCTCTTTTTCAGGTGCCAACTACCAGAAATAAATAGTAAGAACTCATAAAATTGTAATTTTATTAAAGTCCTTTTTCAGCATAAAGCATTACCAACTTACATTAAACATAAGTGTAAATAGAGTCTTCTGGTTCAGCTAATTTCACAGAAGAGAGTTAAAATGAAATCAAAAATATGTGTACATAGGCAAAATACTTATCTTGAAGTTCATGTTAAAGTGTACTTTTTAATGCCTTTTATAGCTGGCAACCATACAACAATCCCTCAACTTGTTGCAAAAAGATAAAGATTATCTTAACCGCCAGAACATGGAGCTTAGTGTTCGCTGTGCACATGAGGAAGATCGCCTTGAAAGACTTCAAATTCAGCTAGAGGATGCCAAAAAAGCTAGGGAAGAAATGTATGAAAAATATATTGCATCCAGGTAAGTTACTGTGTGTTCACTTCTATTAGTAGCCAAGTTATTTGGCTGTTTTCCCGTGTTTCTTGCTCAAATCATGTTTAAATATAATTTAACTTTCAGAAAGCTAGTGCATATTTGTGAAACTAGAAACAGAAAACTTTTGTTGAGTCTTAATGTGTATCAGGAATTTTTTTTTAAACCTTTGATATTAGACCATAATAGTGAAGATGTCAGCATTGAAAGTTTTTGGCAACTTGGTGTATATAGGAAAATAAGCCCTAAATGACCTTTATTAAAAACAATATTTGAAAGATAATCTAGGAGATTATTGCAGAATAAAATACATTTAATTTTCACAGATGTTTTAAATAGTACATAGCATGTTTCATATCAGCTGTTACAGCTATGAGTCTTTCATATCTCAAGTTTGAATACAGCTTGAATAAATGTAGCGTTGAGAAATAGATCGATCACTGTATGCTAGCCATGCTGGTAAATAGTGTCAAATCCTTCTATTTGAATTGGTATAGATAGATACGTATGGGATGTTGAACAGGAAGCTTTATGCTATTCAGCTACATATCTTGCTACCTATGTAATGGTATACTACTAAATTTCATAGAATATCTCAAGTTAGAAGGGACCCATAAGGAGCATAGAGTCCCACTTTCCGCTTCTTGCAGTACTGCCTGAAATTATATGACTAAGAATGTTGTTCAATTTCAAACCACATTTAGATTTTTCTTGTTAGGAATTCAAGATTACCCAGTTCATGTTCTTTCCC